AGGAAGCCACAGAGCGCTCTCAGCACATATTACATGAATATATGTGTGTGCATACGTGTGTGTACATATGTCTCTCAGCACATATTACATAGTGGTGTCATGCAAATGTCTGTTCCAGCAACTCCAAGTTCACTCCAGTGAAGAAGACTGAACTATGTCCAAACAGGTTTTTCAGCTCTCCACAGTTCTGAAATTCAAAGAAATACAAACACCAACTCCTGGTCATATGAACACACCCTCACTCTTGACAGGACGGAGTTATACTCATCCTGGCACCAGCAAGCACTTGCCAACCAACAAGTGCCAAAAGACCATACAAGCACATTTTGTAATGGCACACTCCACTAGCTGACACTCATTGCCTCTCAGTGATACCTATCCCAAGCCCCTTTGCTACTGAGTTGCACGCTCTGGAGGAGCTAGAAACATTGCCTCAGAGAAAGACAGAATAAACCACTTATCTGCTGCCACCACTGAAGCAAGACGTAGCTGACAAAAATGAATTATCATACAACTCGGACAAGGGTTGAGGTACTATTACTGAAAAGACTGCTATCCCTCAGATTATGACATTCTGTGATTGAGGCATCCAATGTAAACGTTTTCCCAACAGCAACTCTTCCCTAATCTGAGTGCTTCAGGACGCAGTACAGAGCTAGCAGAGCCCAGTTCTGTTATGAGGATGACTCACATTTCAGCGTCTTTGTATTAAGAGCTGAAAGAAAACCCTTAGAAGCTGAGAAAGAAACAGCCTACTATAAAAGTCAACTGATTTGCTGAGTCAGCACTGTGTTTGAGATTCATAGAATGGTTTGGGTTGGAAGTGCCCCTAAACATCATCCAGTTCCACCCCCTCCGCCCTGGGCAGGGACACCTCCCACTGGACCAGGTTACTCCAAGCCCCATCCAACCTGGCCTTGAACCCCTCCAGGGATGGGGCAGCCACAGCTTCTCTGGGCAACCTGGGCCAGGGTCTTACCACCCTCACAGCAAAGAATTTCTTCCAATTTTCTTTCCCCTCTTTCAGTATAACACCATTCTCCCTCATCCTACGGCTTCCCTCCCTCACCAAGAGCCCCTCCCCAGCTTTCCTGGAGCCCCTTGAGGGACTAGAAGGGGCTCTAAGGTCTCCCCGGAGCCTTCTCTTCTCCAGGCTGAACCCCCGAACTCTCTCAGCCTGTCCTCACAGCAGAGGGGCTCCAGCCCTCCCAGCATCTCCGTGGCCTCCTCTGGCCCCACTCCAACAGGTCCATGTCCTCCTGATGTGGGCGACTCCAGACCATCAATACTGAAATACCAGATATGAAATTCACCAGCATAGATAGCATAAGTAACTAAGTACTGACAATAAACTCTGCTTCTATTCTACATGCTTAGCTGAACCTTTAATTATTGGTCATACTGAAGAAGATACGGCTAATATTAATGGAAATATTTACAAAAATCTACTACAAATGCTTCCAAAGTATTTGAAGAAATCTAATACAAAATTTAAGTATATAGATCTCAGGATTTTTTCAGTCCTGGCAATTTCTGTAAGGCTTGAAAGGAATCCTTGTTCCACAATCTATATTAAATTCCCATGACAATACATCTCTACTCCCACTAAATGCACTGTTTCATCTTCCTCAACTGGCCAGATGACATCCATCCATCCCCACAGCACCTCTCCGCTGGGTTCCTCCGCTAATTGAGTTTACCTGTATCAAGGGCCCTGTTGTAATTCTGCACCGACCCTTTCACTTTTACTTTACAGCATTTCCCCACCTATGTCCACTTCCTTTTGTCTGCTGCCACTTTACGAAATCCATGCCAAGACTCCTGCCATACAATCTCACATCTTGTTTTCATTTCACACAGGCCGCCTCTGCTTCTGCTTAGATATAAGGAAAATTGCAGGGCCTAACTACTGTTCTTTAGGAAGAGAGAATAAACAGGTTTAGATGCCAAATAAAGCCTTTGATAGTGTTTTGTATATAAGTTTCACTGACATCTGACACTCCATTTTCAGCTTTAGGACCGTCCCTACACCAGACAGACAACGGGCTGCTTTGAAATGCAACCCCTTACCTTTTTCACTCCTGGGATGAAAAATTATTTCCAGTTTCAATGACTCTCACTATCTGTGCAGATTGTTACAGAGCAACAATTACCTGTCCCACATTTGCTGCAACTACGAGTTACATTTGGAGTTACATTCCTCCTCAGCCACACTCAACTCTTTTGTTAGGAAAGGAATAAGCACATTCACATCTGTCAGTCTGGGACAGATAATTTTGCAGTGCTTTGCTACTGGATTTGTCTGGAGATTGGGACATTAACATGGTCACAGGCTTTAAAGCTACAAGTCCTCACATTGAGATCCTACAAGTGATTCCTGCCTGAAGGTCTGTATTGCCCTCTGTATGACTGCATACTCCTTCTCTGTTGCTCTCCTCTTCTCTCATGAAGAGTGAGTACCTACTATATTCCAGGGCAGGTTACAAATGTTCCCATTCTCATATTTCTCCAAGAGTGCTACTTCAAAATCTCATTAGAAGCACCTGTTTGTGAAAGTCCACAAACCTCTTCAGCAAGGTTTGAGAGTACTCCCATGTTTAATAAGCTTTGCCCAAATCTTTTACTATGGGGACCATTACATGAGTGCTAAACTCGGAAGCCACAGCTTCAGAAAGTCATTAAAAAAGCCAAGTGTTGTAGCAGCACATCTTGAATTTTCCCTCTGTTCTAAAAGTTGACTTGAGAGATCTGTGTTTGTGTCACCCTTCTCACCCTGGAATTCAATAGCTTCCTTCCAACATATTCAGCCTGAATAAAATAATGTCTTCCAACTAAAAACTCTCTATTGACATAAGAATCAAAGCTCAATCACTTGCTTCAGAAACTTAGAAATGCACATGCATGTTACATCATAGAAATTATTCTTCTTGTAACAAGAATTCTCCTTGCAGACCCCTTCTAGAGCTACGTTATACCTCTGCTATAATGGGAAAAAGCCTGTATATGCCCTCCCATTCTCTGAATATGAAATAACATCTTGATTCAGGCATAGGCCATCTCAGTTACAAACTTACTATATGTCTTCGAGTACACAGTAAGCTCATAAGGCTTAGAGGAAACCTTATCACCATGTTCCAGTATTTTGGCTACAAAGAAGATAGAGACTCTTTTTACAAGGAGCCATGTGGAGAAGATTAGAAGTAATGGGTACAAGTTACTCCTGGGGAGATTCCGAAAATTTTTCATAATGAGAACAATCAGCTGTTGGAATAATCTCCCCAGGGAAGTGGTAGATTCCCCAACATTGGACACTTTTATGATTTGGCTGGACAGTGCTGGGTCTTCACTGGGAGCTTTTGCCAAGAAAGGCTGGACCAGATGATCCTTGAAGTCCCTTCCAACCCGGCATTCTATAATTCTTGATTCACTCCTCTTTATCCAATGACAACGGGATTAGTGAATTTAAGAGTTGGAAACTGTAAATTCCAACTTCTTCCATCAGCCCTAACGCAAAAGATGAATCTGTGGCTGACCAACCTTATCTGTGGCATCACCACAAATGAACAGGTAACCTCTGCAACATCATGGCTAATAGCTACAGACTAAATAGCGTAATAGGTGGCATAGCTGGGTGTTGTCTAAATAAACTGATATACCTTCAGACTTGGTTGTGAAGTGCTGCAATGTCTGCTGCAGTCACTAAGGGAGTTACAGGACTTATGCACCAGCACTCAAAATAAAGGAAAAATCTTTGATGCCACTAAGAACACAGAGTTTAAACTGTACCTACTGCATTTCTTTCTACTACATAGTACACACCACACCCAACTGTTTTTAGGGTTGCCATGACAGTAAGTAGTTCTAGGTTATTTCAGGAAAAGGTCTGTCCACATCTGAAAATGCCAGTCACAGATCACCTCAGTCCCTTAGCTGGACTACAAAGCTCTACTAGATTGTTTCTCTCAGTTTAAAGTGCCAGGTTTATTCATCTTCAGTCTACTGAAGAGTTTCCACACGTTCAATTCCCCTGACGGCAGGTGAAACAAAAGTAGAAGCTCCTTCAGAACCTTTATACCTGCGTCTTCAGAGCTACTGCAGCAGCAGCTGCCGCCGAGCCCCGGGGACTGAGGAAATCCCCAGTCATAGGGTATAAAGTCTTGGGATAAGGTCTGCACAAGGACACCTACAAGGTCTAAGTTCCCTTTCTTCCAACTACTTCCTGCCAAAGTCTTCTCTTCAGCAACTTGTACCTGATATTAGCTTCCAACTATATTAGCCACAGCTGATTCCCAGAACAGGCAATAGCAGCAACAATCAGTCCCTGGTCCTGGAAGGGTCTATTAGTATGAACACAGCAAGGCTACCACTCCCGTCTTACAGCTCCACAAGGAACACAAGTACTTGCAGATAGCTATGTACTACCTTCAGACTAAAACCTGGAAAACATCTCTTCCTCCTACATAGTCTACAGTAGCCATCTTCATTTGAGTGTAGGAATGGCAGTATTATGAGCTTGTTTCAGCATCACCTCAGAAGAAACACTTTTAGGAACTACCTGGACTAAAGACCTGTCCCACTACTTCATCCCTCTGAAATCAGGTGTAGGCACTAACTTGCCACTCAGATCTCCCCAAAAGCTTTTTTTATTCATCTTCAAAGTAATACTTTAGAGCTGTTACATCACTCCATCTAACTCAGTCTTTCACTCATACAAACCATTAGACAGATCAAGATTTGCTACAGATCTTTTGCTGCAGGTGCCATTGATTGTGTAGTTATAAATGAGCTGGTGGGCCTAAGGCTGCCAATACTGATGTTTCAGTTAGTCTTCCGCCACTCAGAAATTCTTGCTGCCTAGATAACAACAACATAGGGCAGGTGGAATTCAGGGGAAGGGTAGGAAAAAAACCAACCACAAAACCAGGAGCACAACAGCAGCCTTACTTTAAAAAAAATAAATAAATATGTAAATTGTAAAAAATGGAATTCAGAACACTTACCTGTATGGACTGATGGAATTCTAACCACACCTCATGCGGCAATTCACTTTCAGGAATTGAAAGCAGTAGCTCAAAACAACTCCTGGAAAAGTAAGAGGCAAGTAAGCAAGCTACCTGAATGCATTCTGCTATTACATTAAATGACATGTGGCACACATTACTTAGCATTCAGATAAGAAATAACAGTAACATTGAAACATGTTTGACTGAATGAATCAGTTAAAGGCCAAAACCAGCCCCAGAATGAGGCATGAGTCATCATATGGAAAGAGTGCTCCTTTTTACTATGCACAACCTTGCTAGGATAAGATTGCAGTTACTCTTGTCATCCAAGGTAGTCTATTCAACATGGCTCAGGAACACTGCATTATAGAATTTCCGCTCCTTCCTCTCACAAAGGACTCCTAATATCCATTCTGAATAAAACTCATTTGACCCCAAGATGGTCTCCTTGCCTAGAGGGAAAATTAAAACCAGCTCTACCTAACTTAAAGTTTCAGTGCTGACATATATAAGAAAACAGAACTAAAGAACAGCTGACAGAAGAAGACACATGCATCAGCACAGAAATGGACCTAGAGAACAGATCCGTAACAGTATTCTAAAAGCAAGAGGCTGACAAGCTATGTCAAGAGGTGCATCAGCACAGAAATGGACCTGCAGAATAGATTCTTAAAAACACCCTATGAGTCTTTGATAGCATGGGACAGAGGAAACATTCAAATACCTATGGTGCGAACTGCAACAAGCTCAAGAGTTACCAAGTAAAAAAAAACCCACCCACATTGATATGCATATTAAAGATAGTCAAATTAAAGTCAGAGTTAAACAAATCATATTGCAGAATTCCCAGATTGTTAATTCATGGAGCTGCTGTATTTGCATAGCTTACTTCTCTACAAAAGGTGAAGAACATCTCTGTATTTCTTCATTAAGCCAAGCTCCTGCTTAAAAATAGGACATTAGCCACCCAGTCTTGAATTTTTGTTACATCCATTTTCAACACTGTCACTGATTAATATCAGTATTTGAGTCAGTCCCATCACAGTGGCATGTGAACTTCTGCCATGTATCAGGTTTTCCAAATGAAAATTCAGGAAAGCAGGAAGGGTTCATATAGTTTTAACATCTCTGAAATATCCGGCAAATTTGAGACCTATATTGGAATATATTTCCATACATAAATTCAGATTCCAAAAACAAGGGGGAAGCAAGCAAGACCTAGTTGATATTTCCTCTTTTAGACCATCAGGTCAATTTTCAGAAACAAAAAGGGAACAACTGTATGTCTTTAGCACGTTCATCTCGTTTCAGGGAAAAGTCTTGGAGAACAAGAATCACTGTTTTCTAGGAGACAAAGCAATGTCAGGACTACTACCTATATTGTTCTCAAATAGGGGCTATCTAACCTTAGACAGGACATACAGATTACCTAAACTGCTGCACAGCACAACTGGTTAGTTTTTCTAAATGGGTTAACTGATGACACTGTCTAGTGATTCAGAAGATTTACAAACACCAAAAATGTTCTCAAAAATCATGACAAAGTAAGGAAAGAAAACTGGTCTAAGATCCCACATACAACTAATGCACTAAATAATTGCTATAAGCCACACCTACATTGCTACATAGTTCCAACTCATGCTATTTTTAATTCAAAACCTCCACTCCCAAATATTAAATAGAAGAGCAACAGGACAACACATTCAGTCTTACCATAGACAGAAGAGCTGAGCTTAGGGAAGGGAAAAAGGAAGAGATGACCACAAAGCAAACATGAGTTTCAAAAATGCTTAGTACCCAAAAAGAATTGCTTTCCTTTCCCCCCATCCTCCTGACTTTTGATAAATACATTGAACAATTACCTGCAAAATGATATGCCCAATCAGTTTTTAGCCAGATTCAGCAGTCATATATTATAAACGAGATCAAGCAGACAAATACTGAATTAACACCTGGTCATCCTTTTCACATTTCAGGAATCTGATTTCACTGCCCAATCCTGTTGCTTTAAACGCTCTAAGCGTTCTATGAGGCAGGAAATACGACAGCCTTCATCACTGTCATTCAGTAATTATTTACATCATCAGGCACTAGAATCTCAATCATTACTACGCCCATGAAAAAGTCTCAATGTTATAGAACAATCAGGACCAACTTTTTCTTCCCCTTGTACTCAGCCTTGACAATACAAGTTAATTCACCAGTTCAGATGCCTAGACCCAGGTGGTTGCTACTATACTATCAAAAACAAATTTATGAAGTCTAACAGCAGCTGAATTTTAACATAAGCAATACCCACCCCCGAAACAAAAGAAAACCAAACCCAAAAATAAACCCCCAAAAATCACTAAGTATTTGTCCAGTTTTCATTCATGTCATACAGAGACTCATTCCACCAAAAAAAAACATTTGCAAACTTCACAGTTAACGTGCTTTTGAAGAGCCTTTTGATGCACACCTCATTTTCAGACTTAAGTACAGTCAACCAGCCCTATCTACTTCCACTCTTCTAATTCCTTTTAATATTTTATTATTTCTTGTAGTAACACAGGACTGGGATGAATCAAGAACCAAAAATTCTTTTGTTGTGAGCCTGTCCTGGGTCTGGCAGGGATAGGGTTAATTCTCCCCAGGACCTAGCAGGGACACAAGTATTCCATCCCTGTGAGCCATGCCCAAGGGGTAGCCGGAGCTGCCGGGGAAGGGGGGACACAGGAAGTTGGGGGGGAGGAGGCGATGACCCCCAGGGGAGGAGAGGGGTTAGGGGTGTCCGGGGTGCGCTCTGCGAGTGGAGGTATCGTGATCGCGATTGTATATTCCTCTGTTATTGTTGTTGTTATTTCTTGCTCTTTTTTTTTTTCCCTGTTCTGTTAAAATTGCCTTTGTCTCAACCCACGAGTTTTGCCTTTTTATTTCCATTTTCCCCTTCCGGCCGTGGGGGCTCTGTTCTGTGCGAGCGGCTGCACGTGGTCCTTTGTTGCCATCTGAGGCCAAACAATGACAGTCCTTTTTGGCGCCAAATGTGGGGCACTCGGAGGGTCGAGATAACGGCAGATCTGACCAGAGCATGTTAAAAGGAATTTTGTATCTGTGTTTATTGTATTAGTTGCTGGGCACAATGTTGCTTTGTTTGTTTCCATGGCTGTGTTATGTGAACTCTTACATGCTGTACGTACTCCCCGTTATGATGTTTATCACTTCTGGGAGAGGGATCAGGATTATAATTTTGCTGTCCTGTACGATATCAACTTATGATATGATAGCATTACTGTTCAGATGGTTTTGTTGGGGCATTTATTCAGCATTGCTTTCCTGCCCACATCTCGGGGAATTTATTTAATAAACACACTGAGTCTTTGAGGGAAGCAGGGGGGGATATTTTCCCCAGCTCTTTCACCTCCTTTTTCGTGCTGGCTATGCCAGTTTTTGAGAATTCTGAATACCCTTGGGACATGCAAACCAGTTTGGTCCTATTGCTAGGTCTCCTGAATGGTTTTCAGTTTTTGTTTAGGGTTAAGCAACTATTTAAGACTACCACCAAGAGATCTGCCCCAAGGCTGGAGGGTCATGGGTAGCATGGCATGTGGGAGAACATGGGCAGGTATCTAGAGAGTTTTTCACCTCCAATGGTCTGGGATTTCACCACTGAACAATTACAGGACCCTGATAAAGTGGTAGAATATTTGAAAGGAAAATGCTGTGGCTATTCCAGAGAGGCACAGCTCACTGCATTGTGCTGGGCCTTGGCCAGTATCTACCAAGCACTGCTCAATGTTGTGCAGCATCCTCAGGGGGAGGAGATGGAAACCAGGCTGACAGACGCTGCAGCTGCTCCAGCCCCTGCAGCAGGTGCTGTGGCTGCTCCAACCCCAGTGGCAGTCACTGCAACTGAACCAGAAAATCAACCTGTGCCTGTATCAGTCACCCCTATCCAGAAGAAGAAATACAAGAAATCAGTTCGCTTAGTGAGGGATGACAATGAAGCAGGGTCATCATGAGAACAAGAGGAGGCAGAATCAGAGATAATCACTTGATCCCTGTCCCTGAGTGAGCTGTGGGACATGCGGAAAGATTTCGGCCGACTTCCAGGCGAGCACATTGTCACCTGGCTGCTCTGGTGCTGGGATAACGGAGCCAGTAGCTTGGAATTGGAGGGTAGGGAAGCCAGGCAGCTGGGATCTCTGTCTAGAGAGGGGGGCATTGACAAGGCAATTGGGAAGAAGACACAGGTCCTCAGCCTCTGGAGGCGACTCCTATCAGGTGTGAGGGAAAGGTACCCCTTCAGTGAAGATGTTGTATGCCATCCGAGCAAGTAGACCACCATGGAGAGAGGTATGCAGTACCTGAGAGAACTAGCCATGCGGGAGATGATTTATTGTGACCTGGACAATGCACAGTCACCCACAGATCCTGATGAGGTCCAGTGCACAAGGTCCATGTGGCGGAAGTTTGTACGGAGCGCCCCATCATCATATGCCAACTCATTGGCAGTGATGGAATGGAGAGGTAAAGAGGGAGCAATGGTGGATGAGGTGGCTGCCCGACTTCGGCAATATGAACAAAGTCTCTCTTCTCCCCTTGTCCGTACTCCCCGTTATGATGTTTATCACTTCTGGGAGAGGGATCAGGATTATAATTTTGCTGTCCTGTACGATATCAACTTATGATATGATAGCATTACTGTTCAGATGGTTTTGTTGGGGCATTTATCTAACTGTCCCGGAAGGTCCAGCAACTGGAACAGAATATGTCCTCCCCACCTGTACAAGCCAGTATCTCAGCTGTTAGAAGCAGACACTTCTCCACTCAAGATAGAGAATACAGACCCATCATCATATGCCAACTCATTGGCAGTGATGGAATGGAGAGGTAAAGAGGGAGCAATGGTGGATGAGGTGGCTGCCCGACTTCGGCAATATGAACAAAGTCTCTCTTCTCCCCTTGTCTCAGCTGTGGACTAACTGTCCCGGAAGGTCCAGCAACTGGAACAGAATATGTCCTCCCCACCTGTACAAGCCAGTATCTCAGCTGTTAGAAGCAGACACTTCTCCACTCAAGATAGAGAATACAGAGGGTACA